ATTGAATAATTTTTATTGATAGATTCATTGCGTTCAAATAATTTTTTTTTTTTTAGTGAAAGCGAATTCTCATCTATTATTGGGCATTTAATTGTACTCAATCAATTTATCTAATTCGATAGATTTTTTTATTCATCACCTACACCTCTAAAAAACGAATTTTTTCACATTTTAACTCATCAGTCATTCATCAACTATAAATGCAATCAATCAGTTAGAAAAAAATTTTATTTTCCCCGATTGATTTTATTCCATGTAATAATTAAAATTAATTTGCCAATTTTACGCGATCAATATCTATTTCACTTTCAAACTTTTTGTTTAAACATCGGAAAAAGTGATATTCAAAGCGTGAGAACTAATAAAAAAAAAAAAGTGTATATAAAAGAGTAAAAACTAGCAATTGCATCGTGTCCAGTATTTGATTTTGAAATAGTCACCCTCTTCTGCTCTCGTTATTTCTACCGACCGGTGTGAATGAGCCGCGGTGCAGGTGCGAGTGATTCACGCGAGGCAGAAAATCCCTGGCACGGTTCTCTCCCTTTTGCATTCTCAGTGGTGGTTAGCCTTGAACTCGAAGAGCGACGCCCGCTGCTCCACATCAAGCGCGGTCGTCGCCATATAAAGGGGTCCTCTATTTGAACCTAGAAAATCATTTCGTTCCACTTCTCTCACTTAGGCCCTATTATTTTCAGCCTTATAAAAATGAATTAAAATTATCTGTCATGTTATAATTAACAAATAAATCATATCCACCATACAACACATTATTTTTTATTTATACATCCAGGAGTACACTTGAAAAATATCAAGTAACTTTCGAAAGACGAAACTCAAGTCTTTAACGCTTTCATGTGTGCAGTTTTTTTTTCGCTATTATTGAGTGTGTATATATATATATATATATATACATGCAACAATATTCCGCTGTATTCGTCTTCAAGGCCAATGACTCACCGGACGTCTCATGCGACATAGAAAACATCCTAATTGTGTTTGACAGTGAGACGCATTTCGTCGAAATAGAGACGACTCGTCACGCATTCTATGTGTACAGCAATGATCAAGGGAGTGTCTGAGGGTATGTTTCATGGTCAAGGTCTGAATTCTAGACAGTGTGATATTCGAAATGGCGAATACAAGAGAACTTTTAGCTTAATCGAATACTGATGTAACCTATTGCTGTAATATATAACTAACGAGCCAATTAAACAATTAATTGATGATCAAGATGATGAAGATCCCGAAAAGTTATTATTATCACCATCATCATGTACCTTTATTACTATTGTTGTTTTTGATGTTATTATCATTATGTCTATAAAAATAAGGTTCAAAGTACTTGATACGTGGGTATATCGTCCACCTCCTGGAGAATCCAATCAATAAATATTACAATGGAAGCCGAGCACAAGTGGGGGAATATAGCAGGGCGCAAAAGGAAGAAAGATGTATCTAACGTCTACTGAGACACCGTCCTCCAGCAGCGTAGTTTTACCCCTCTCAGTTTCATCTTTCCTTTTCTTTCATTCTCTTATCCTTCTGTCAGAGTTACTATCGTCACTTCTCACTCTTTCTTCCGCTTCTCTCGTCTTCCGCCTCCTCTCATCCCTCAGGCAACCAACTTTCTCTTGCTCGCGCCGCTTGTATTTTACTTTTCTAGTAGCGAATTAAAACCGCGTTCATGCGCAGCCCGCGGAACGGCGTAATGATTTTTTGAGGGGCGAATCGAGTGGGGTCACGATGGCAGAACGTTGCCCGAAAGAGAGGGGTAAGAGGCAGGGAGGTTATGAAGAGAGTGAGAGAGTACTCAAGCAAGAACAGTAAAGTTTGGCTACAGCTGAGTTGTTGAAAGAGAAGGAGAGGGAGATGAATAGACGAGAAGAAAAGCTCTACAGTAGTAAGAAGAGAACCAAGAAGGTATGAAAGGTCCAGATCTGTCTCATTAGATCACAGTCCACCTTTTTTATACATCATGATCTAAATTCGCGAGCAGTTGAAGAAAGTTAAGCATTTGTTTCTGGAGAACCAGACATTTAAGTCTGCATATACCTGAGAATAAATCACTGCTTGAAAGAATGCCAAAAAAGCTGTAATATTCGTGTGTTGGAATCTTTTGAATTCTGACTCCATTTTTAATTAGAAGTCGTTAGCTTTGCGCATTTTCATCTCGCGAAACGGGTGGGGCATAGAGAGTAAAATGAAGAGAAAAAAAAAAAGGATGGAACCGATGCTACCACAGGCTATATCTCCCCTCCAGTCTAGTCTCATCTTGAGACTCCCCTCGTACTCTAACTCAACTTTCTATCTCTTCCTTTCCTGCTTTCTTTCTCTCTCTGCGTACGCACTATTTTTTAGTCCACACTTATTACGACAGATGTCTCATGAGCCGATAAAGAATAAAGCTGTGGACCCGGTGTTAGTCCTAACTCGGTTCTCCAACTCGTAACGGACGTGGTATAACCCTTCCACTAGTTCTTTTTCTAAACTACGGTACATACTCTTTCAATTACTTTCATTGGATTTTTTTTTTCTCTATCAACTCGAGCGAGTATTTCTTTTTCTGTAAAAGATAGCTTTTTTATCGTAATTCTATTCCTTTATATTCTTTCTTTTCTTTTGGTACCTCAGCCTGCGGCGTAAATGTAAACTTCCCTTTATTACATCAGCCCTCAGTGGAACTCAATTCAGTACATCAAATTATACATTACATATAAATGGAGAAAATTTTAAAAGTATAAATTATCTTGATAATTGGAGGAAACCTAGGACCTATTAGGCAACAAAATTGTCTCCGTGTACACATTATCAGTGTATTAATTAAGCGCCATTTTTTTCACTCATTTAAATTTCATAGAGAACTCTGCGCTAAAAAAAAATACTTGGAGATAATTAATAAAAGACAGTAAGACGATTTAACTTCATCACATGTGTAGCGAGATAAAAAAATGAGAGCGACTATTAGGAGGGAGGAGTAGTGAACACGGCCGCAGTATTCACAGTAGCACACGCGAGCGAATCCGTCAGGTGCTTCTACCACTATATGTATAACATCAGTATTAATTCGTACATACGAGAACATTTAGGGCGGCCGATCTATTAGACTTGATATTTTTATATTATTATAAACACGTACGTATCTAATTGACGATCAAGTATTCATCTTTTTACCATCAGTAATAATATCAGCCGTCGTTATATACGCCGACCGCGTGCTACACACGTCGACGAGTGAGTTTACACACTTTTTTTTTATCTCTCTCATTCAAGTTTATTCTTTCTTTTTGCTCAAGTCTGCATTCACTTCGATCTCGCATGCTCTTTCTCTCGGCGCGCGCTTGTCATTTTCATCTTTCGGCGTTGAGTCGCGTAATTTCGGTCATTTTCGGGTGGTTCCGGGGGATCCTCGAGGCTCAGCGGGAAGTCCGTCGTTTCGATTGTGACGTTTAAGGGGTTAGTTCGTCCGGTGTAACGGGTGAGGCATGGGTGGTTGCGCGAGCAGGATTCCAACTGCTGGTTAGCCACGCGGCGTATTAGTTTGCCTCTCAGCTGAATCAACGTATTTTATCCAATTATCGGCTTCGTCATTATTTATTACATACTTTTTTGTAGATGTCAACGTTCAATTGCAAGTGAGGTGTATACATTTATGTAGATAGTTTTCGTCAAATACTTTTTGTTCTTCATGCAAATAAAATGTTTCTACAAAGTCACTTGGTTTTCATCAACACCCAAGTCAGATAACTATTGGCGCGAAATCGAACTCCTGGCGAAAACGTGCTTTGAAAGCGCACATATATAATCAGTTTGATATGCTTAAATCCTTTCAATTGACTTAATTAAAAACAACTTGTTATAAGTCTTTGTTTATATACAAGTGATTCTGAGATTCCTGAACGTAAAATTACTTTCTTCGTTATGCTTTCAGTAATGCATTGTCACGAATTAAACGTTTACTAATTCGTGTTAAGCTGTGAAAAGTGAGAAGGTTGACTTGAAGAGGTATAGTGGCATTGGATATTGATGAACGAATAGGAGAGCTTATGAGACAATCCTTTGTTCTGATTATTTACTTTGCGTGATAATGATAAGTGATAGATCATAAACCGATGCCAGGATGATGTATTTTTTATTAACTGACATTTCAAAACATCACAGTGAAGTGAAAGTGCCTTCGTAGTTAACTTCTTATATCGATGCACAAGTATTTAAGGTATTGTATCTAATCTCTGTTTCACCACAATCTAGTATTGCTTGAGGATACAATTGAATCAATCAGACTATTTTTTTTTTTTAATCTTTTTCATTCAATTATATAATAGTGATTTCAATTGAAAAACTTGTAGAAAAATAACTTGTTATTTTGATTGAAATAATGAAATTTATTTTTATTTGAGATTAGATGTAAAAGTTTTAATATCGTTTATATGTGTGATGTAGATGTAATCTTTTAAAAATATTATTATTTTGTAAAGGCACATATTTAACTAAAGACTTTTTTTTTCAAAATGATACATGATAATTCATGCGCAATAATATTGATAAAAATTTATTATCATTGTAATTAAAAGACTAAAAAAAATGTCATTAATATGTAGTACAGGCAGCAGCATCTAAATTGACGAGAAGGTTCAACAGTAAATTTGTTTCCAGATTTTTTTTTTATCATTTCGCCGAGATAATAGTTATCAGTAGACATTTTGTACTTGCAGTTCTATAAGTAACCGGCCATTTAATCGTATTTTCTGGCTCGGCGCCAGAATGACGACCTAATTTTTTTTTCTAGTCGTATAAAAAAAAATCTTGCAATTTTTTGCCGCAATAAAACTATTTACTGACACAGCGAATTGTACGATTTATTGTTGACGTAAATCATCGGCTTGTATTATAATTTTTTTTTCTTTGAATTCAAAGAACGTCATAAATAGAATCTCCATTCTTACATTATATTTATTGTTTATATTTATATTCTCATTTCTTTTCTTTTCCTATGCTTACAGGTGAATAAACATAACGATGGTAGATACGCAACATTTTTGTCTGCGATGGAATAATTACCAGAGCAGTATAACGTCCGCGTTTGAGAATCTTCGGGATGATGAGGACTTTGTAGATGTCACGTTAGCCTGCGATGGAAAGAGTCTCAAAGCGCACCGCGTTGTACTCTCTGCATGCAGTCCATACTTCCGTGAACTTCTTAAGGTTAGTGATGACAACAATAACACAATCAACACTTTTTCATTGAGGAAGGAAAAAAACAAAACAACAACACGACATTCAATTTTTTTAATATTCATCACTTTGTGAAGAGACTCTTTGATGAGAGTTTATGATTAATTATTATTGTTTTTAATTACATATATTAAATTGTCTATACTTTGTTTATTTAGTTATTTATGTTGATACTTTGCAGAGCACACCGTGCAAACATCCGGTGATAGTACTTCAAGATGTAGCGTTTAGTGATTTACACGCTTTAGTAGAGTTCATTTATCATGGAGAAGTAAACGTTCATCAACGATCTCTCAGTAGTTTCTTAAAAACTGCTGAAGTTTTAAGGGTGTCTGGGCTTACGCAACAAACAGATTCAAATGAACGAGATGAGGTAAGTTTTTTTTGTCTATTTTTTTGTTAGAACTTTTTTCTCTACCCGCCTTAACTTTTTATATACAAAGTAAGTAATTTTTATTACACACTACTAATTTCTTAAATCCAACAGAATTGAGCTAATGATAATTGATAAGCTTTTCTTTCTTATTTGTCATAATTCCAAGATAAAATTTTGATCCTCTCGGTTATCTATGTTTGAGTAAATTTCAAAGAGTTTTTTTTTATCTCAGCACAGCAGCACTCTCCCTTTAGTGATCATAACAATTTTTAGAGATTGTCATAGGTCAAGCAGAATGAGATAGTAAAAATAATTAAATTGATGTGCTCTTATTATTTGTTTCTTTTTTTTTTGTTTTAATATTAACCCATTACCATCTAAATTAACGAAATAAATATTTTAAATATATCTTGTATCTTAAGTAAATCCTTGATCTTTGCAGCTACTAAGTTTATGATAATTTTTATTTCATATATTTATCACATGCCTACTGCTTAAATTAGCAAACATCGTGTACTGAAAACAAAAAAAAACTCTGCGAAAATATCGTCTATTTTTAACTTACTTTTTTTATACAACAGAAATAGATCTAAAAAATAATCCTCGTATGTATGAAAATATTTTTCTTACTTCTACTCAATAGTTTCGTTTGAGAGAATAGTTTTTATTCATTTTTATAACATAATAAAAAATTGATTGTTGTAAGTAGAATATTTTTCTTTTTGCCAAATAATAAAACTATTGTAACTTTATCGAGCATGTCATCGAATAAATAAAATTCTATCAGGAATCTAGGTCGTTTAATTTTGCAGGGTAATGCTAAAATGATGGTCATTTTCGTAATCGTCAGACTGTAACGTGTTAATAATAATTTTTAAATCGTCTTATTTAATTTTATTGGAATTTTGTTTTGTTGTATTTAGTTATCCCAAGTGCGTGCGTTAGCGGCACGTACTAACCATGTACAACCCCATGATAAACTGTCGGATGAGGGTTTTCCAAGAGGTGGATCCCCACCAACACCGGTCACCCCAACTCCCACGACGGTACAGCAATTGTTACGCCGAACACAAATACGTAGGAATGAAAGGCGCACACCTGATGAACATGATGAATCGATAAAGAGATCCCGATTACCTTCACCACCGCTCAATAACAACGATGCAACACCAACAGATTTTTCCATGGTTAAAAATCACCTGTTATCTAAGGTAGAAGGCAATGGTTTGCATGACGAAAACAGTCGTATGGAAGAGAACATCAAGTGTGAGCCACTGGAGTTAACTGGAGGGAATGGAGGTACTGCAACCCACAACGAAGACTCTTCGGACTCTGGGGCAGCAGCTTCTGATCGACCACCGGCATCAGCGAGTAGTAACGAACACGAGCATGAACCTGAACATCCGTCAACGCCAAATTTTCTGCCAGAAAGTAAAATATTTCCTACAACACCGGGGAGCTTTAACTTCACCATGGCCGCACTTACTACGGAACACAATCCATTGTCAGGTAAAATTTCTTACTTCAATTATCATCAGGCCTCTACGCACAGACCAATTTATTTTATGTTAATTTTTTATAACCTGTCATTTATTTTAGTTAAATCATTTTTTATTAATTTTTTCCTTTGATTTAACTGTAATTAAAACTCAGTTATTGATATTTTTATGTAAAATGATCTTTTAAATGAATGAAAATATAATTTCACTTAAGACTATATTAATAACTGGGTTTTAAATAATTTATGTTGATTGAGTAATTGCGAAATTGCGTACAGGCCGTTATTATTTAATATTTAAGAGAAAAGTATGAGTATCTACGTTTAACAACAGTAAAATTTTCAGGGTTAAGTCATGGACTGCAGACGCCGGATTTAGCAGGAACTTCGCAAGGTAAGAAAAGTTTTGATAAAATAATTATATTTCATTGCCCTATAAAATCACAAGAATAATTTAGGGTGTAGCGAACAATTTAGAAACTTTTCCTCCTCGTTTTTACGTGTGTCACATCGAGGTACGACGTTAAGAACATATAGAAAAAAATCATAGTGGCATTCTTTTGATTTTTTCCAAGGGCACTCCTCGCTAAACTATTTTACTTTACTTTCTATCGATAACCAGTGCATGATAGGTCGATCCATTAAGGCCTATCGATGTAATGGTTCGGTTTAATGGTCACTACGACTTGTGCAGTTATATCAAACTAACAAATCATAAATAAAATAAAATAAAAACAAAATTTATATTGGTTGCGGTTCAAAAGCACTACTGTCTGCTTGGAAAATTAAATTTCTCTTAATTGGCATGCGTTTCCAAATCATCGAAATCATCATACTATTCTGTCCGAAATTCATCACGAGTCGCTTCCATTTGCATTTTCATAAATTCATTACAAATTGTGAGTTTGCACAATTAACTTGGTGGTGACGTGACGACTTAATTAATATATTAAATTCTAAATAGAACATTATTAATAATATTCATTAAATAAATTACGTGTAATTTATTATGTCAAAAAATTTGTTACACTTTTGGCAGTCATGACCCAAAAAGTTAGATAACGAAAATCTACTTTAAATAAAATCGATAAAAAAAAAAGAAATGTTGTCAAGGCAGTAAATGTTATCTCTGATGGAGTTTTACTTCAATTGGATGAATAATTTTTGAGTTGATGCCATATCAAGGACATGTAAGCAGGCGAAATTTAATCTAGTAATATCGATTAAATTTGTAATTAAATGATGAGGCAATTACATATTGGACCTTCCAAAAATTATCAGTTATTTAGAAGGATCTTTCAATCGACATTGAACCACCAAGTTCGCGTTATCACACCAATTGGCGTTAAGAACCAATTAATTAAGAAACAATCGTGAGTTTGGCATCACTGTACAATTTATTGACCGTTACGAGTATCATCTCAATTACAAATGGCCATTTTAGTAACTAAAATAGATACAAAATGATTGAAAAAAAAAAGAAATAGTTTCCATAATGAAACAAAAATTTATCAACTATAAAACTAGCATTCCATTCTCAATCAGAATACTATTTTTATTAGAGTCGTCAACATTCAACACCATGATCAAAATATTAACTTCAACTATCAATCGCAGATAAAACATTCCAACAACTTATCGTTTTGTACTTGTGTTGTTGTTCATTATTACGTCAGTTTCGTATCAACATAAAATCATTTAATTTGTCAAAGACAATAGATCTTGGCAAAATGCTTACGCGTAATCAATAATTCAAATTCATTTAATCATAATCAATATGGCAATTGATTGTACAAAAAGTTAGGAATTTATGGCTACAATTATTATCATTATTAGTACTATTGGTTAAATTAATTAATTAACTAGAATTAAGTTTTATTTACTTATTAGTTTAATCAATCATAAGTTTATTATTTAATTATTACACAATTGTAGAGAAAAGTCCATGATATTTGAAATACTCTAGACAAAAAGGATGTGATAGGTTAATTTAATTTACCAGATTTAAATACTTTTTTTTTTCTCTCGATAAATTATTTATAACATACTACGATATTACCCTAAATCGTTTATACAAAAAAAAAACCCAAACATCAATTTTTTTATTTTATTTGGATAATTTTTATTGTTACTAAGATAACATGTAGATCATAAATGGATAAGATATAATACTTTTACCATTTCATTTTTTAAAATCTACGTTTCCTTCCATAATACTTCTCCTTGGCCTCCCTATTGCTGTTATTTTTTTTATTTATTTTCTCTCAAACATTAAAATCGGAATAATTTTGGACGTAAATTTATTGCTTTATAAGTCTGTCAGATTTAGTGTATTTCAGTGATAGTTTGGAAAGATAAGACGATCGTTGGTGAAATGGTAATCACGGGATGACACCGTGCATCTCACCGTTTACATAACGCAGTTTCTTAATGCGACTTTATAACCAAGGTCTTGAATTTATTTCACAGAATTTACTGATATTGAAAAGATAAAAAAAATACATTAATCTATTAACTTATTAACGTAATGAATAATGAAGTCTAAATAAAAAAAAATAATAAAACAAGAATTGGTAAATATTTTTTAATGAATTAGAGAAATAATATTGTTATCGTTAATATAATAAATATCCGAATGATACAGTCATCGTTTGTCATTGGTAGGCTTTCTATGAGTTATAAAAAAGTAGCTTTTCGAGACACTGAGCAAATTCAGGTGCGGTCTGGCCCGTCGATTAATATTTGAACGCCTGGCTTATGCTAGGTTAGTACTGCAAAAGTTATCAAGGGGCGATGATAAGACGGCAGATGTTATCCGCGAAATTCAAGGTCTGTCTATATCTGCATTGAATGTTGCCAACTAAACATTGGCCCGTAAATAAAAATACCATGGCCTTGATGAGCCACTTTTGTTCATTGTATGATTTACAAATTTTTTTCGTCAAATAAAATAGCATATTATTTAATATGATGTATAATACCAATTTGACGAGACTCGAGTTGTCAAGCTAACAAAGAAATTTTTATCGCTTGGCATTTGGCAAACTTCAAACGCGATACCAAAGGTTGTCGTTCTCTCTGGTATCTTGATAATTTTGTCTTACATCTAACATTCGCATATCTCATAGTCATGAAGGATAGATATATTTTTTAATTTATCTCTATGTAAATTAATGATAGTCAAGCTATTTTTTTTTACAAGTGAAATGTGCAGAATAATCTACAATTGAACATTGAATTTTTTTTTTTTTATTTAAAACTTTCGAGCTAGTTTTAATATCTAATCATTAACACTGAACCGTCTGTCGTTTTTATCTCTCAGCTAAAGAATATGAAAATTAGGCTATTCGATAAAAATACTATTCGATAGAGAATAAACTCAGTTACGATAATAATTCTTTTTACATCAAGCTAAAAGTAAAATTTATCATACGGTTTTTAATCAAATGTTAATTTAAAAATATTCTAAGTAGAAATAAATCAATAAATAATAACCTAAGATGATGATTTTATTTTAGAAAATTAATCAAGTACAACGATGTAAAGGGTTACATTAAAAATAGATAAAAGAAGAAATCTAAATAAAAATAATCTGCATAATGTTTTCAGGAATAAATAAAATGATGCATTATTTTTCTTTGTTTCTTTCAAAGAAATTTATCTATTTGCTCTCTGCCATTCCGAATCCTCTGAAACCTCTGCAACCTCTGCAAAAATAGAGCACGGCTCGACGCGATACACTCTTTGACGTTATCTGACAGAAATAAATGTTTCTGAGGCGTGAAATATTTTTTTTTCTATTTCACTGTGTCTTTCCTCAATAAACTGAACTGAGGCTTTATCGTCCTTCGGGCGTAATGTGGTTACGCAAAAAATAATAACGAAAGATATAGATTAAACAGAGAGGGAGAAAAGAATTAGAGCGAATAGACGAGCGAATGAGAAAAAGTATGAGGGTTCTCGTTATAAATTGTCAGGCCGGATGCGCTTTTCTTTGTTTGATAGATTTTTAGCTTGAAACTTGCGATATTTTTTTATTTAATTCTTTTATTTTAACAGCCGCCTGCATACATATGGTGATGACGTTGACTTTAGGCAGCCTTGGAATATGTGCAGAAAAATTTGCCTGTTTTCTACAATGTGAGTGTGTGATGACACATTGACGAACCCATTTCATGAGCTATGAATGTGTTAGCATATAAGAATGTTGACTCAACAATTGTTTTATTTTTCAAATTTCAATTCAACTAGATATTTGCCCTTCAAACAAGTGAATAAATCACTTTTCACACATTGCTTTTCATCAGAAAAAAATATTCAACTGCTTATCATTTAGCCTAGAGAATATCTGAGGAGGTACAATGCAAAGACCAGCTTCAAATATTTGCCGAATTTTTATTTATTTCTTTTTCGCCAAAAATTCCTTATCATAATTTTTTATGAGTCCATTATATCTGTCGCAATTATTTGCACTCTCGTTGAGGAGAAAAAGAATCATCGTGATGTGTATTCTTAGCTTGTTTGGCGTCGAAAGAAAAGTTTGTTTTCCAACGCTAAAACGGCTAGTCGTTGGTTTAATAGAGATCAGTTTTTTTTTTCGTATACGTTCCAACGATCTGGGCGTACATTTTTTCTTGCCAATTTTTTTTTCGTTTCATATGAATACTCTACACTCATGCTAATCTGTTGTAAAAACTCGTGGTCAAATAAAAATAGCACGTTGCTTTTTAAAAGTGAACTATTTACCACTCTGGTGTTGTATAGTATACGCGTATGAAAAAAAAAAACGTTGCAACTGTTTGGTGCAACACTTTTGCAAATATTTATTCCATGACTTCATTTCACCTTGTATTAACGCAATTTCGCTGAAAAATATACATTTATTTAATCAATACAGACATCTAATTTGAATTTATTTTTTGATTACTCTTTTTATCGCATTTATTGAATTATTTACTATAATAATAATTCATTAATTATTATTCAAATGACAGCTTGTTTATGTATTATTTTGTTTTATTATCAGTTTGGGTAAACCATAAAAATTAATTGTCTACTAAATTATTCTTTCTTTATTTTCAATGATTATCTCTAAGTAGTTAAACACTTTAATACCTTAATATTGTCACAATCATGAAATGTCATGGGTAAAATATCCGTGTTTACGTTCCAGTGACGTCATATATGTGCAGAAATGTGTTCGAGACAGTGGAAGATATTTCAAGGACGCTTTTAACACAAATCGCAATTTTTTTATTGCAAAATTTCGCAACCCTTCTGTATTTAGACATCTTTTGGTATTTTTATACTATTTTAAAATAAAATTAATACTCTATTCTTCTTTTGAATTCATAGAAGAATTATGAATACATTAAATGATTTCTTATCAAGTGG